TTTTACATCATGCCTCATCATTACAAACCTTAATCTCCTTGTAACATCTTGCTTGTTCAATGTTAACCTCAGACCAGTGTTAAGCACTGTCCTCTCAAACACATTACAGCCTTAAACACACCATAATGTTTAACAGATCACATTTCTGTGTCACAATACAGTTTTAAACGCACCCCTGTGGTAAACATATTACAGTGCTAAATACATGCAAGTGGGAAACGCACCCCAGTGCTAAAACACATGCCATTGTTAAACACTTCCCAGTGTTAAATACATCCTAATGTTAAATACAACCCGATGTTAAACACATATAGCCTGTACCCTAACACCCCAACTATATACAATTTCAATATTGTATCAAACCAGTACGGAGTATTGCCCCGTTAAGATTGGGACACCTAAAGTCTATACCCCCCACCCTCCCCTATCGACCGCCTGATCAACCCCCCCCCCCCCTATAACCGCGTTAAGCCTATGCTTGATTGCGTTATCGTCGGCTGACCGTTAAGAACCGATGTTTTTCTCTTTAGATCAGCTGTTTGGGTTCATCAACCTTGACCTCCAACCTTCAAACATCAAGTCTAACTGTGGAGAATTTAAGAGGTGAGCTGTGTTCTAAAAGTTTAAAAAAAAAAAGAAAGCAACAAAATCTAAACACTACACATAACAATAACCGTGTGTTCAGTTTGTTGACGTCACGATGTTTCTCGATCCTACCATTGCATGAAGGTCAAGGTCACCTAGTAATCAAGCCCGTGCTTGTAGTAGACCCGACTGGACCTCATTTACAGATCAAGAAGGGGGGCGTGACACTTCTAATACTCAAGGTAACCATTGGAACAATTAATATTTTATGTTTTATTTTAGCTCCTTACTCAAGGTAACCATTGGAACAATTAATATTTTATGTTTTATTTTAAAGTTCCTTACTGAAGGTAACCGTTGAAGAAATTAGTGTCGCATGTTTTATTTTAGCTCCTTACTCAAGGTAACCAATGGAGAAATTAATATCGCATGTTTTATTTTAAAGTTCCTTACTGAAGGTAACCGTTGCAGAAATTAATATCTCATGTTTTATTTTAAAGTTCCTTACTGAAGGTAACAATTTGAAAAATTAATATCGCATGTTTTATTTAAGCTCCTTACTTAAGGTAACCATTTGAAAAACTAATATCGCATGTTTTATTTAAGCTCCCTACTTAAGGTAATCATTTGAAAAATTAATATCGCATGTTTTATTTAAGTTCCTTACTTAAGGTAATCATTTGAAAATTGTGTTCATTACAGTAGGTAACAATTCAAAAATTGTGTTCCTAGTTCCTTTCTGGAGGTAATACATTTAAAACAATAGTTAATATCGCATGCTTTAATTAAGTGATAAAGTACATGTTCCTCGCTGAAGGTAATACATTAAAAAAAATTATATCGCATGCTTTAATAAAGTGTTGAATTCTATGTTCCATACTGAAGGTAATACATTTGAATTTTTTTAATTGTATCGCATGTTTTATTAAAGTGTTGAAGTGTATGTTCCTTTATGAAGGTGACCGTTAGGAAATTGATAAGGCATGTTTTATTATTGCAATAGTCGGTAGGTTTTAATATAGCCATATGTGGTAGGTAAACTGAGCAATAGAAAGAAAAAAATAAAGCTTCATAAACATAAACCCAGCATCTAAAAGCTAAACATATCTTTGAGAACAGGCATATCTAGCCTGAATAATTAGATCTAGAGCAGATAAAGAATTTTAAAAATATTCGACAGTAAAGAGGAAAGCTCAGGGAGTACTAAAATATAGTTTTGAGAGACCATTATTTTTCAATCTAATTCTCTTATAAAATTACAGCAAATATTGTTACAACTTTAAGCCAAATATCCATTCTAGTATTATTTCCAATATGTATAGATGTACATTGGTTTCACATAAAAAGTGGACGGCTGCACTTTTCTTCTACGGTTGAAGCACAATTCTAGAACGTTCTTTAAAAAATGGTATTTGATTACTGGTAGTAGAATAAATACATTTAAAACTTGCTTATGTCAACGCTAACCTTAGCTCAAGTCCTACAATAGTCTAACCTTAATTGCCGACCATAAACTAAACTTGAGTATAATACTACAAACAACCCAACCAGTGGCGTCGCTAGGTCGGGTGTCATCTGGTGCGGCACTTCGTGGTGTCTCCCCCCCCCCCCCAAAAAAAAAGTATATATATATATATATATATATATATATATATATATATATATATATATATATATATATATATATATATATATTGTGTGTATGTATGTGTGTGAACTTAAATCAATGCAGTTAATTGTAACTATATTTTTCTAGTCTGTTAATAATACACTTGGATGTAGAATTGTTTTCTCTATAGTTAGCACTTTGTAATAATTATCGATTTGTACTTATAAGACTATTTAACTTTAATTAATCATTAATGGAATTGGCAAGAAGCATTTTTCTTCTGTACATTTTGCGATTTTTTTGCCTTGGTGTCACCCCCCCCCCCCTAAATGTTGTTACCCGGTACGGTGCGCACCCCTGCCCCGCCCTCGCTACGCCTCTGTCGGACATCTGCAATACCATTCATTTAAAGGAAAATACAAAGAAAATGTTGAGAACCGGTTCAAAACAAATCTACCATGTAAATTCGTCAATCCTCATCTTTCCCTTTCCTCCCCCACACACAGTGCGCAGTAGTGGGCATTACATACATGACGACACGCTGTGTTGCCGATTATAATTCCAAACCCCTCCACTCCCCCCTCTATAATGTCACGCTCTGTCAGACTCCGCCCCTTCTCGCATTTTCTGTTCAATTTTTGAAAAGGGATGTAACCAAGCCATTGTGATTTATTTCGCAAATATTAGAGCTATTTCCCTTTGAGCTGAAAATATAAACAAATCATTTAATATAGCTATTGCTTTATTGTGCTTTATGGTGTTTTAATGCACTAGGTTACCTTAGCAGAAACTTCGTTAATCACCACTTAATACTGGAAAAAGTATTTATATAATGAAAATTAACTATTAAAATTTAGTTGTAAAATGTTAGATATTCTCATTTCAATTTAAATATTTGCTGAACAACAGGACAGTATTAATTTAGGGTTTTTAGGTAAGGGCTAGTCTTAGGTCTTATTTTGTTTGGCATTTGGGTTAGGTCTAGTGATAGGTCTTATCAGTGGCGTAGCGAGGTCGGGTGTCACCCGGTGAGGCACTTAATGGTGTCACCCACCAGAGGCGCAACGACCCTTCCTTGGGACAAACTTTCAATTTTCGATTTGCATCCCCCCCCCCCTCAAACTTTCGATTTGCACCCCCCTCAAACTTTCGATTTGCACCCCCCCTCAAACTTTCGATTTGCACCCCCTTAAACTTTCGATTTGCAACCCCCCTCAAACTTTGCACCCCCACCCCCTCAAATTTTCGATTTGCACCCCCACCCCCTCAAATTTTCGATTTGCACCCCACCCCCTAAAATTTTCGATTTGCACCCCCCCCCCCCCTCCTCAAACTTCCGATTTGCACCTCTTAAAAGACTATTTAACACCCGAATTAATCACTTAATTGGAATTATCATTTTTCTCTATATATTTTGCTATTTTTTGCCTTGGTGTCACCCCCTTAAATGGTGTCACCCGGTGCGGTCCGCACCCCCCTCGCTACGCCCCTGGGTCTTATTCTGTTTGGTGTTTAGGTTAGGTCTAGTGATAGGTCTTGTTCTGGGTGATGTTTGGGTTAGGTATAAGAGAAAGGTCTTGTTCTGTGTGCGCAGACTGATACAACCATTTTAAAATGTCATTTTTAAGAATACGATAGCACTTTTTAAACGTGCAACGACATTCTTTGAATATGTATGCGACTGCGCTGTTCACATGTGCAACTGCTACAAGTTACGTAAACGCCTTGTATCATAGGCTTTAAAAGTCTATGTAATCACACTTAATTTAAAAATCACACAAAATTAAAAAAAATCTTTAAAAAAATATGGTAAGCGATAAATCAGTTACATTTTTAAAAATTAAAGCTTTTTGTAAACATTTTTATACTCATTTTCATACTTTTGCAAAAATATGAAAATGAGTATAAAAATGGTTACAAAACTGCTTTAATTGACAACTAATCCAAATTAAAAATAAGTGTTAGCTAAATTACTATTATATTACTAGAAATGATGTTTGAATATTTCTAATCTTATTTCACAAATGGTATTAAAAAATCCAATTTTGGTTGACAAATAGGCTTACTGGCAACAACTATTTGGAACCAGCTTTACAAGCCTGTTGTATTAATCGTTACAATTACTTCGTTACTGCAACTGTAACTTTGTTACTAGGCTAGAGAGAAAAGGATATTGCAATTTTTAAAATTAACTTGTTCTGAAGCTAGCTGCTTATTTTCAGGGTTTCTTTGTTACTTCTTTTCTCAGAGTTGAGGGAGGGGGGGGGGGGAAGTGGCTGTGCCAGTTTGAAGAAATACCCAAAAGAAACGTTTATAATCTGATTTCGGCAATTAAAAAGGAAACTTGAATTTTAATTACAAAATACAACCCAGTGCTTTCATTATGTGTAGAGGGAGTCGCCTAGCGACTTAAAAGTTAAGACTAATTTTATTAAAACTGAGCCGACCCAGTTCTATTTGTTGTCTAACATTGATTTCTTTCTCTGGAATCAAGGAAAAGTTTCATAAGTTTTTCTTGTATCTGACAAATGTGGTTACATAGTGTAGATTGTAAATAAAAATGTTAATGATACTTAACAAAAACTTTAAAATTTGATCTGATTTACAAATACTGATATTCCATAAGCTAACATGGCTTTATAGTTTCCAAAAACTTAGGGATTGTACTCTACATTACACTAAAGTAAAGCATCTTTTCCCTTCAACGTTTTGAAAAAGAAAATAAATTCATTCTTGCCGTAAGTTAATATTTACTATTCTAATTCCAGGTTGTTATTTTAAGTTAATTCAAGTACCGTCAGAAACGATGGATACTCAGGGAGTGCAGCAGAAATCTTCTCCACCTCAGGGAGTGCAGCAGACATCCTCTCCACCTCAGGGAGTGCAGCAGACATCCTCTCCACCTCAGGGAGTGCAGCAGACATCCTCTCCACCTCAGGGAGTGCAGCAGACATCCTCTCCACCTCAGGGAGTGCAGCAGACATCCTCTCCACCTCAGGGAGTGCAGCAGACATCCTCTCCACCTCAGGGAGTGCAGCAGACATCCTCTCCACCTCAGGGAGTGCAGCAGACATCCTCTCCACCTCAGGGAGTGCAGCAGACACAGAAATCCTCTCCGCCTCAGGGAGTGCAGCAGACACAGAAATCCTCTCCACCTCAGGGAGTGCAGCAGACGTCCTCTCCACCTCAGGGAGTGCAGCAGACATCCTCTCCACCTCAGGGAGTGCAGCAGACACAGAAATCCTCTCCACCTCAGGGAGTGCAGCAGACACAGAAATCCTCTCCACCTCAGGGAGTGCTGCAGCTACAGAAATCCTCTCCACCTCAGGGAGTGCAGCAGACACAGAAATCCTCTCCACCTCAGGGAGTGCAGCAGCTACAGAAATCCTCTCCACCTCAGGGAGTGCAGCAGACATCCTCTCCACCTCAGGGTGTGGTGCAGACATCCTCTCCACCTCAGGGAGTGCAGCAGACACAGAAATCCTCTCCACCTCAGGGAGTGCAACAGACATCCTCTCCACCTCAGGGAGTGCAGCAGACATCCTCTCCACCTCAGGGAGTGCAGCAGACATACTCTCCACCTCAGGGAGTGCAGCAGACACAGAAATCCTCTCCACCTCAGGGAGTGCAGCAGCTACAGAAATCCTCTCCACCTCAGGGAGTGCAACAGACATCCTCTCCACCTCAGGGAGTGCAGCAGACATCCTCTCCACCTCAGGGAATGCTGCAGACATCCTCTCCACCTCAGAAAGTTCAGCAGATATCCTCTCCACCTCAGGGAGTGCAGCAGACATCCTCTCCACCTCAGGGAGTGCAGCAGACATCCTCTCCACCTCAGGGAGTGCAGCAGACATCCTCTCCACCTCAGGGAGTGCAGCAGACATCCTCTCCACCTCAGGGAGTGCAGCAGACATCCTCTCCACCTCAGGGAGTGCAGCAGGCATCCTCTCCACCTCAGGGAGTGCAGCAGACATCCTCTCCACCTCAGGGAGTGCAGCAGACATCCTCTCCACCTCAGGGAGTGCAGCAGACACAGACATCCTCTCCACCTCAGGGAGTGCAGCAGACACAGAAATCCTCTCCACCTCAGGGAGTGCAGCAGACATCCTCTCCACCTCAGGGAGTGCAGCAGACATCCTCTCCACCTCAGGGAGTGCAGCAGACATCCTCTCCACCTCAGGGAGTGCAGCAGACATCCTCTCCACCTCAGGGAGTGCAGCAGACATCCTCTCCACCTCAGGGAGTGCAGCAGACATCCTCTCCACCTCAGGGAGTGCAGCAGACATCCTCTCCACCTCAGGGAGTGCAGCAGACATCCTCTCCACCTCAGGGAGTGCAGCAGACATCCTCTCCACCTCAGGGAGTGCAGCAGACATCCTCTCCACCTCAGGGAGTGCAGCAGACATCCTCTCCACCTCAGGGAGTGCAGCAGACATCCTCTCCACCTCAGGGAGTGCAGCAGACATCCTCTCCACCTCAGGGAGTGCAGCAGACATCCTCTCCACCTCAGGGAGTGCAGCAGACATCCTCTCCACCTCAGGGAGTGCAGCAGACATCCTCTCCACCTCAGGGAGTGCAGCAGAAACAGAAATCCTCTCCACCTCAGGGAGTGCAGCAGCTACAGAAATCCTCTCCACCTCAGGGAGTGCAGCAGACATCCTCTCCACCTCAGGGAGTGCAGCAGACATCCTCTCCACCTCAGGGAGTGCAGCAGACACAGAAATCCTCTCCGCCTCAGGGAGTGCAGCAGACACAGAAATCCTCTCCACCTCAGGGAGTGCAGCAGACGTCCTCTCCACCTCAGGGAGTGCAGCAGACATCCTCTCCACCTCAGGGAGTGCAGCAGACACAGAAATCCTCTCCACCTCAGGGAGTGCAGCATCTACAGAAATCCTCTCCACCTCAGGGAGTGCAGCAGACACAGAAATCCTCTCCACCTCAGGGAGTGCAGCAGCTACAGAAATCCTCTCCACCTCAGGGAGTGCAGCAGACATCCTCTCCACCTCAGGGAGTGCAGCAGACATCCTCTCCACCTCAGGGAGTGCAGCAGACACAGAAATCCTCTCCGCCTCAGGGAGTGCAGCAGACACAGAAATCCTCTCCACCTCAGGGAGTGCAGCAGACGTCCTCTCCACCTCAGGGAGTGCAGCAGACATCCTCTCCACCTCAGGGAGTGCAGCAGACACAGAAATCCTCTCCACCTCAGGGAGTGCAGCATCTACAGAAATCCTCTCCACCTCAGGGAGTGCAGCAGACACAGAAATCCTCTCCACCTCAGGGAGTGCAGCAGCTACAGAAATCCTCTCCACCTCAGGGAGTGCAGCAGCTACAGAAATCCTCTCCACCTCAGGGAGTGCAGCAGACATCCTCTCCACCTCAGGGTGTGGTGCAGACATCCTCTCCACCTCAGGGTGTGGTGCAGACATCCTCTCCACCTCAGGGTGTGGTGCAGACCGCAGCTGAATTCCAAAGTGTGAAGCAGCTCTCTGTCTTATTCTCCCGTCCAGAAAAGTCTGTCACATTCTCCCGTCCGGAAAAGTCTGTCACATTCTCCCGTCCGGAAAAGACTGTCACATTCTCCCGTCCGGAAAATACTGTCACATTTTCCCCTCCGGAAAATACTGTCACATACTACCGTCCGGAAAAGACCTCTATCGCATACTCTCCTCCGGAAAAGACCTGTCTCAAATTCTCTCCTCCGGAAAAGACCACTAACGAATTATCTTCTCCGGAAAAGTCTGTCACATTCTCTCATCCGGAAAAGTCTGTCACATTCTCTCATCCGGAAAAGACTGTCACATTCTCGTGTCCGGACAATGACAGATGCGTCGGCACGGCTAAAGCAAGCATTGATATAAAGTCTAGCAGCGTCAATGATCCGTTGAAAAATGGTGGAGCTATTCCGAAGAGAATCATACCAAGTACGAAGGCCGTGCCAAACACTGCACTACAGTATATCAACGAGCAAGTACCAAAAGACAAGGATAAAAGCTGCGTAGATATTTCAAAAAGAACTAACGAAACGATTTTTAGAATTAGGAATGATGACAACAAAGCTACTAGCGAACAGCCTCCTAAAGAATCAAAACACACTGGTGCTGGAGCTAAGAAAGATGCACAGGTAAATGGAAAAGTTCATCATGTAATTAAACAAGACAGTAATGGGCACGTTTCTAATGAAAATAAAGCCACTGGACACTATCCTTGTATGATTGCCATAAAAAATGGGCGAATTCTAGATGTAAATGCAAAAAGCAATGGAAAAATTCATCATGTCAACATGCAAAACAACGGACAAATCACTTGTATGAATACTTTAAACAATAAACGAAGACCAGAAATGAGTATCCAAAGCACTAGCCAAATTATGGTAAATATCCAAAGTAATGAAGTTACTCACAAAAGCAATGGGCAAAATCCTTATGTAAATACTCAAAGCAATGGACGTGTTACTTCTTCAAGTACCCAAAGCAATAGACAAATTCCTAACGTTAATGTACATAGCAATGGACAAACTCCTAACGTTAATGCACATAGCAATGCAAATATCCAAAGCAAGGTGGGTGTGAATTCCCAAAGCACTGGACAAATTCTTAAAGTGAAAGCCCAAAGCACTGGACAAATTCCTAACGCAAATACCCAAAGCAAGCAACAAATTCCTAACGCAAATACACAAAGCAACGGAGAAAGTCCTAACAAAAAAGTTCAAAACGACGGACACGTTCCTAACGTGAATGCCCAAAGCAATGGACAAATTCCAAACTTGAATGCTCAAAGCAATGGACAAATACATTACGTAAACGACCAAAGCAATGGACAAATTCCTAATGCGAATACCCAAAGCATTGGAGAAGTTCTAAGTTTGAGTACTGAAAGCAACGGACAAATTACGAACATGTATGCCCAAACAAATGAAAACATTCCTAACGTTAATGTCCAAAGCTGTGTTGAAGTTTCTTACGGGAATACCAACAGCAATTGTCAAATTCCATACGTCAATGGCCAAAACAATGGACAAATACCTTACGTCAATACCCAAAATAATGGACAAATACCTTACGTCAATACCCAAAATAATGGACAAATGTCTTACGTCAATACCCAAAATAATGGACAAATTCCTTACGTCAATGGCCAAAACAATGGACAAATACCTTACGTCAATACTCAAAATAATGGACAAATGTCTTACGTCAATACCCAAAATAATGGACAAATACCTTACGTCAATGGCCAAAACAATGGACAAACATCTTACGTTAATTCCCAAAACAATGGACAAATACCTTTCGTCAGTTGCCAATGTAATGGACAAATACCTTACGTCAATACCCAAAACAATGGACAAATACCGTGCATCAATGGCCAAAACAATGGACAAATACCTTACGTCAATGGCCAAAACAATGGACAAATGTCTTACGTCAATGGCCAAAACAATGGACAAATACCTTACGTCAATGGCCAAAGCAATGGACAAATTTCTTACGTCAATTGCCAAAACAATGGACAAATACCTTACGTCAATACTCAAAATAATGGACAAATGCCTTACGTCAATGGCCAAAACAATGGACAAATACCGGTCGTCAATGGCCAAAACAATGGACAAATACCTTACGTCAATACTCAAAATAATGGACAAATGTCTTACGTCAATACTCAAAATAATGGACAAATGTCTTACGTCAATGGCCAAAACAATGGACAAATACCTTACGTCAATGGCCAAAGCAATGGACAAATTTCTTACGTCAATTGCCAAAACAATGGACAAATACCTTACGTCAATACTCAAAATAATGGACAAATGCCTTACGTCAATGACCAAAGCAATGGACAAATGCCGTACGTCAATGGCCAAAACAATGGACAAATACCTTACGTCAATGGCCAAAACAATGGACAAATACCTTACGTCAATGGCCAAAACAATGGCCAAATAACTTACGTCAATGGCCAAAACAATGGCCAAATAACTTACGTCAATGGCCAAAACAATGGCCAAATAACTTACGTCAATGGCCAAAACAATGGAAAAATACCTTACGTCAATACTCAAAATAATGGACAAATACCTTACGTCAATACTCAAAATAATGGACAAATACCTTACGTCAATACTCAAAATAATGGACAAATACCTTACGTCAATACTCAAAATAATGGACAAATACCTTACGTCAATACTCAAAATAATGGACAAATACCTTACGTCAATACTCAAAATAATGGACAAATACCTTACGTCAATACTCAAAATAATGGACAAATACCTTACGTCAATACTCAAAATAATGGACAAATGTCTTACGTCAATGGCCAAAGCAATGGACAAATACCTTACGTCAATAGCCAAAATAATGGACTAATTCCTCGTGTTGTTCATGAAGACAATGGACAAGTTACTAATGCCACCACGCAGACCAATCTCTCACCAAAGAAAAAGAGATCAAGACGTTCCAGGAGGAATACACCATGCGTTAACCCTACCTCACCGACAGTCAACGACGACGCGATCACAAGCTTCGAACCCGCGCAGCAAGGGTTAAAATATTACCTCAGGTGTAGTTTATGCAGTGGCACTGGTTTAGTGGAAGCCACCGACCTAGAAAATAGCTGCAATCATGTAGTGGAACATTACGGTTCTGGTAATTCTCCCAGCGACTCGATGGATTTTAATACATTTGAGAATGTTCCTAATAGCCCTTCTGAAGCCAGTGGCTTTCAATACATTCCCAATTACTCATTTGTTTCTGGAAATTTCACCAGTGACTCCACAGACCCCGAACTTGCTGTGTGGCAACCATCGGAAACAGAGACCAATCTTTTAAGACAAGTTCAGATGTCTCCAAACGACATGAACGGCGCCAGCGACGGGTATGTGCCAGACTTGAGTAACACGGACAGTGGTCAGAGTCCAAACAGCCCGCCTAGCGCCGAGGGGGATCTTGTCCCAACCAGGCCATCAGACCAGCTCCTCAAGTCTCTGGGCAAATTCTGCGGCTTCTGCAAGAAGAAAGGCATGCGCCGGGACCAGTACACGTCACATCCCATCCGGGATGCGGTTGGCATGGTCGTCTGCCCGTCCCTCAAGTCTGTCGTCTGCCCGGCGTGCGGCGCTACGGGCAAGTACGCCCACACGTTGTCGTACTGCCCACGTCTCTGGGGTTATACGGGGAGATTCAGGTTGAGGATCGTCAGAGATGGGTTTTAGGAGTGAGTACTATGTCAAGGTGGAGAATTGTCAGAAGTGGGTTTTAAGTGTGAGTACTGTCAAGGATAGTCAGAGATGGGTTTTAGGAGTGAGTACTGTCAAGGATTGTCAGAGATGGGTTTTAGGAATGAGCACTGTCAAGGATTGTCAGAGATGGGTTTTAGGAGTGAGTACTGTCAAGGATTGTCAGAGATGGGTTTTAGGAATGAGCACTGTCAAGGTTTGTCAGAGATGGGTTTTTGGAGTGAGTACTGTCAAGGATTGTCTGAAGTGGGTTTTAGGAGTGAGTACTGTCAAGGATTGTCTGAAGTGGGTTTTAGGAGTACTGTCAAGGATTGTCAGAGAAGGGTTTTAGGAGTGAGTACTGTCAAGGATTGTCAGAAGTGGGTTTTAGGAGTGAGTACTGTCAAGGGTTGTCTGAAGTGGGTTTTAGGAGTGAGTACTGTCAAGGATTGTCAGAAGTGGGTTTTAGGAGTGAGTACTGTCAAGGATTGTCAGAAGTGGGTTTTAGGAGTGAGTACTGTATAAGATTGTCAGAAGTGGATTTTAGGAGTGAGTACTGTCAAGGATTGTCAGAAGTGGGTTTTAGGAGTGAGTACTGTCAAGGATTGTCAGAAGTGGGTTTTAGGAGTGAGTACTGTCAAGGATTGTCAGAGATGGGTTTTAGGAGTACTGTCAAGGATTGTCAGAAGTGGGTTTTATGAGTGAGTACTGTCAAGGATTGTCAGAAGTGGGTTTTAGGAATGAGTACTGTCAAGGATTGTCACAAGTGGGTTTTAGGAGTGAGTACTATGTCAAGGATCGTCAGAAGTGGGTTTTAGGAGTGAGTACTGTCAAGGTGGAGGATTGTCAGAAGTGGGTTTTAAGTGTGAGTGCTGTCAAGGATTGTCAGAAGTGGGTTTTAGGAATGAGTACTGTCAAGGATCGTCAGAAATGGGTTTTAGGAGTGAGTACTGTCAAGGATTGTCAGAAGTGGGTTTTAGGAATGAGTACTGTCAAGGATTGTCACAAGTGGGTTTTAGGAGTGAGTACTATGTCAAGGATCGTCAGAAGTGGGTTTTAGGAGTGAGTACTGTCAGGGTTAAGGATTGTCAGAGATGGTTTTAGGAGTACTGTCAAGGATTGTCAGAGATGGGTTTTAGGAGTGAGTACTGTCAAGGATTGTCAGAAGTGGGTTTTAGGAATGAGTACTGTCAAGGATTTCTGAAGTGGGTTTTAGGAGTGAGTACTGTCAAGGATTGTCAGAAGTGGGTTTTAGGAGTGAGTACTGTCAAGGATTGTCTGAAGTGGGTTTTAGGAGTTAGTACTGTCAAGGATTGTCAGAAGTGGGTTTTAGGAGTAAGTACTGTCAAGGATTGTCAGAAGTGGGTTTTAGGAGTAAGTACTGTCAAGGATTGTCTGAAGTGGGTTTTAGGAGTGAGTACTGTCAAGGATTGTCTGAAGTGGGTTTTAGGAGTGAGTACTGTCAAGGATTGTCAGAAGTGGGTTTTAGGAGTTAGTACTCTGTCTCTATATTGTGAGGTGAACGGATAGGTTTGGATAACGGTTTTCTTGTAAACAATGGAAGGCGTCCTCGCTCAAAACTGTCCGTAAAAGTCTGTATTGTTAAACATGTTAACATACAGTTACATTTTAAGGAGATTTTTTTTTTATTTATTCATATAATTTGTTATGCTGTAGTCCTTTCTTTACACTTTTTAAAAACCTATAGTTTAATTTTGTGCACATGCAGTATTAAGACATTTTAAATATAGAAACACGACCTAAAAGAATTATTTTTAAAATTGTTTTTATCATGAGCATCTAGTTTTCGAACTTATTTCGATTATTTTTAAATGTGCAGCAAGTCAATGGAGTTGTCTCGCTTCGTTCATCCCCACTCAATCAGTTTATGTTGATCATACGTTTGTAGTTCACTAGACTTTACTTACAACATTGTGTGTAAAAAAAACTGACCCTTAACATGTGTTTATGAATTTTTAATATAATTTTTAGCTTTAAACAGAGTGCACATGAAATGTTTGTTTTTAAAATATTTTGGGGTGTATTCAAAATGGTATTAAAAGGTGAAAAACTTGAACATATGTTTTAAATTTGTTTAGAAATGATTAGTTTGAAAAAAAACTTTCTTACTGGGATCACAAAGGGGTGAGATGGTTAGTGTGTACTCACTGTCTGTCGTCACTGTATATGCAGGTATAGGTGTCTGTCCTCACTGTATATGCAGGTATACGTGTCTGTTCTCACTGTATATGCAGGTACAGGTGTCTGTCGTCACTGTATATGCAGGTATACGTGTCTGTCGTCACAATATAAGCGGGTAAAGGTGTCTGTCGTCACTCTATGGGCTGGGAGAGGTGTCTGTCATACATGTATATCTGTGTTTACTCACTGAATTCTGAATGAAACAGATTGGCCATGAATCGAACATCCCATCTTACAATGTTCATTTGGGTTCTGGCTGTCCGATCCCTGTGTGTATCGACTTGAATTGGTTGAAAACCGCTGGGTTGCTCGGTATGGAGCGGCCTGCACTAGACGACATGCAAGAAAGGGCTATCAATTAAATTATTTGGCTAGAATAACTTCATCACAGCATGAGAAGCAATGCGCCCGTGGACACACCATCCTGTAGCCACACCACCCTGTAGCCACACCACCCTGTAGCCACACCACCCTGTAGCCACACCACCCTGTAGCCACACCACCCTGTAGCCACACCACCCTGTAGCCACACCACCCTGTAGCCACACCACCCTGTAGCCACACCACCCTGTAGCCACACCACCCTGTAGCCACACCACCCTGTAGCCACACCACCCTGTAGCCACACCATCACTTAGCAACACCACCCGTGATTAACACATTAATAATGCAATAAACAACGCTAAAATTACCCAACTAATTGCATAATCGAAAAAGTAATCTGGCTGCTTTTGTGTTCACATTTCTGAAAATAAATACAATCAAAATTAAAATTGTGAGCACACAAAAAGAATTAGTACCGAAACAACATTAGTAGAACCACAATGTTTAATAAATACTGCATGTTTCAAATGGCAGATCTTGCAAAAAAAAAGGTGTTTACATTATTCTATGGTGCGAATTTGATTTCCGGCTAAATGATATTCAGTAACATAGAAATATTTAATTAATTGAGGCTCTTTGTAGACATGAATACACTTAACCTGTTAGCAGAGGCGTAGTGAGGGCGGGGCGGGGGTGCGGGCCGCAGCGAGTGACACCATATAGGGAGTAACATCGAGGTAAAAAATTGCAAAATATACAGAAGAAAAATGCCTTTTTTCCAGATCATTTAAGAATTAATTTAAGTTAAATGGTCTTTTAAATACAAATCGACAATTATAAAGGGGTGGTGGTAGCACCATGTAGGCCGATACACACACACGTATATATATATATATATATATATATATATATATATATATATATATATATATATATATATATATATATATATATATATATATATATATATATATATATTGTTTCTTGGGGGAGGGGGTGACATCACGAAGTGCCGCACCGGGTGATACCCGACATAGCAACGGCACTGCCTGTTAGATATTGGTTATGATCATTTAAATATATTGTGTTAGAAATCCCTCGAGTTTTATATTTATATCAGTTACTTCCCATTTTAAAATCAAATAACAGCAAGGGAGACATTATATTACTACGTTCTTAAAGAATAAAATGCATCAAATTAAAACAATATATAGGTAAATTGTTTATTTTTTATTAATAATTTTAAATAATATATTTTTGAAGGGATTTAACTAGTATTTAACTTTTTTTGTTTATATGTTTTTTAAAAGTACAGTTACATTATCTACGTTGAACACTTTACGTGTTGGTTTAAGATTTTTTAAACTTATTTACAATTGAAATATCATTGCTGATATAATAACTTGGAATTCTGGACCCAATTCGTTCTTTTCTATAATTATCGACTAAAATTATTATCAGACGTTTTGAATCAGATCTATGTGAATGTAAACCACTACGTGTAAGAAACAAGTATATTTTTGTAAATCTGTATCAGTCCTCACAAGCCGTAATCTTTGATTCTTTCTTCTTCTTAGTTCTTACTTTTTACTTTCTCGTACATACGAAGTATAGAGAAAGTATTGTAATCGTGCACAAAAATAACATGACATTTTGACAGTTTTCACCGTTTTACTACTCAGTCCTTCATCACATCCGGAGTATAGTGGACTTATTTTAATCAGGCAAAAATTATAAATACAAATATATAAACATTTTGGCGTTTTATGCGTTATCGAGTCGTAAAAACTGGACTTTGCAATTCTGTCCGTTGTCTGTGTGTCTGTGTGTAAACACGATAACTTGAGTACCGTTAAAGCTAGGTTGATGAAATTTCATATATAAGTATTTTATCAAAATCGTAGATCCGTATCAACTTTTAAGCGATTTCCGAAATACGGAAGTGGTACTTTTTCTACTTTGAATTTTTAAAAAGCCTATAACTTGAGTACTATTTCAGATAGATAAACGAAATTTCACATGTTAGTAAAAGATCTAATTCTCTACCTTCTGTCAAATTTTGAGTATTTTCCGTTGACCGGAAGTACTAATTTTCGCTATTTCCGATTTCTCAAAAAACGAATGTAAATTTATAAAGTACTAATAATATTTCGCACTATTATGCACGTTTTATTTGGCGTTCACAGGTGTGCAATTCTTTTTTTCTACGAGATTTTATTCTATTTTTAAAAGTTTAGGTATTTAAAATGGATTAAAATTCATGTCTATATCCCGAGTTCCCATCCCCTGTGTTTTTTATAAAAGAATATTCGAGAAAGTTTAGGGGAGATCGCTCCCGGGTTATTTTTGTTAGTGTTGGAAGGGATCCCCTCCAACAAAATTAAGTATGAGCCGTACGTTTTCCAATTAAATATACGTGTCAACTGAGGCCATCGACTCCGATTTCAGCCAACTTTTCTCTTTGGATTTGC